ACACCTTCTCATTTATTAGTCAAGCTTTGTAATATGAAAATTTGTAAAATATAAATTTTTTCAACACTCGTTGACCTCAGAATATACCGATAGTTTTGTTCTGACTCGCCTACAGTGGTGTGACCGAAGGTTGTGCGTCGAGGCTAAAGGACTGCGTGTCGTGGCTAAAACATTGCGGGTTTTGGCTAAAGCTTGATAGGAAAAGGTGCAGAAAGCGCCGCCGCAAGTTTTTCTTAGCGTTGAACATTTCATGAGCTTGTAAATTTTGCTGATGATTCCCTCCTCGTGATGCTCGCGTCGTTACGCCACACATGAAAGTCCCTATCATGTTTTTGAAAGGCAGATGTTTGACGTTTGAGCGCTATGATAGCAATGCGCTGAATAAACTTCGGGGTCGTTTATCTGCCTTGTTTTGCGATACGCTTCTGTTCATATTTGGTCATCGCCCTTTAAAAAAATCACAGTTTCCTCCCATGTACTTGTTTTGTATCCGTTTGATTTTTAAAACAACTATCGAAAGGAGATCTGATCCATTTAGTAATAATGATGATATTATTTGCTACTCGTTACTCTATTCTACCCGGATTCCATGTGAATATAGAAACAGTCACTGCTCAAGGTAAACCTAGCCCGGACATGAGTGAAGTGATGCCCCACTGATGAACGTCAGGACAATGACGATGAAACAGTCACAACCTGTACAGGAGGCTCCACAAGCATAACACTATTTCAGGTGAGTATATAATCATGGGATTTCTTCGTCTTTTTATTAAGATTATTGTACTGCAATTTGTTTGGCAATAAGTTTAGACTCAGACGGGTGTGACAATATGTACGAACGTTATTTACCACTTATTGGTAACCAGTGCTTCCATATTGTGCCTTAACCTGGATCCATAAGCAACCAGCCAATCTCTTTGTTTTTTCTTCCAAAAACCTCAATATGGTCGGAGGTGGGTGTCTAGGGTTGCGGCTGATCACTCTTCCATTGCACCTTGCGAAATGTTCACATACGACCAAGCCTCTCGAGTAGCCTCTGCTGAGGAAGCCCGACTCACTGCCTTCTCGTGTTGGCGGAGGTGTTTTCCCACCAAAGTGAGAGGATGAAAAGCCGATATCCGGGGCTATAACCGGTTTGGTGGATCACTGTTAGTTCACCTAGGGGAGTTGGCCAAAAACCCTGATTTCAAACCAATCAAGAGGAGGCGTACGAACCACACTCACAACTTGCCGGTCGTGGCAGTGGTCATCAAATCAATGGGCCATTGAGTTCTGTTGGGCATCTTGGACGTTTAACGCCATCCGATGAACTAGACACCGGCCCCTAATGGTCTACGGTTTTCACACACTACCCCGCCGCTTTGCGGGTGAGGCTTTGGCTAACCGAAGGCTCCGGTTGTGGAGTATTCAGGAAAACTCACCTACCTTGGTCTGGCCAACTTGGCAGTACCCCGCCCACATGCAAACCATGGAAGGTTTTTTTCTTTTTCATAAAGTTTGTTGTCCCGTGATTTGTTTGGCACACAGTTTGGATTCAGATGTGCGTGAAAATATGTAATATGTCAATCTCCTGCTATGTCGCACCCCTGAGAAGTCGCATTTTCCAATATCTTTCCATTTTTCGAAAACCCAAACCAACCTCATGCTTAATAACATGGTTTCTGACTATGCGATGTCGCACCTATCAATATGTCGCAATTCCTGGTACGTACTCACTTGGTCTTTGACCGAAGTTCGGGATGACCACTGACCATCCACCCTGAAATGTCGCACTCAACCAATGGCGTTGCACCTAGTGTAACGCGTTCATGGCACTGTTCACTGATTGGATAATCCTTGCGAGGAAGTCACACTGATGTAAGTGATCGGAGACTGTCATTTGACGTCAAAATGTGCAAGCGCCTATCGATCAGAGAGAAGCAGAATGTGTGGGAAATGCTGAAACAGCCGGGTGCAACTCAGAGCTCCATAGCCAAATCACTTGGGATTTCATAAAAAACTGTCTACAATGTGGTATCCCATGGAATGACTATCGGGGAATTTTTGAACGCTGTAACATCTGAGGGGAGATGCCACCTGAAAACCAACGAAAAGTTCAAAGCAGTGAATGAGGCAACTTTGGCTTGGTTTACTGCTACGAGGGGAAAGCACGGAGAGTTCACAACGGTGAAGAGCATCGTACCTAAGAAGGCAATCTAGCTAGCACAACGATTGCATCATAATGACTGCAAGGCTTCCAAAGTTTGCTTTCGCTCTTGGTCAGACAGATATGGTATTCAGTCGTAAAAAGTAAGAAACAAGCAACTCATGTACATTACTTTATGGGTCCGCGGAGAAAGTTTAGCGATACCACGTGATGCAGTGGACGAGTTTCGAGCGGGGTTACCGCAGTTGATACATGGATATGCTGACTGTGACATTTTCAGTGTAGATGAAACAGCTTTGTATTATAGGTAGCTCCCAGAAACAACATCAAGTGTGAAAGGAAATACAGTTTTCTGTGTTCAAGAAATCCAAAGAGAGGGTCACGTTACTGCTTTGTGGGAGCGTAACTGGACAAACATTATCACCGTTGATAATGCTTCTGAGGTATAGATAGAAAAAGCCTTCCATGCAGTTATAATTCTTCAAAGAACGCATGAATTACTTCTACGTTATTACACAGTTGGCTGTCCAATGTCAACCGCAAAATGGTTTCTCAAAGGCCTCTTATTTTACTATTTATGGACAACGCCCCTTGGCATAACCAAGCCGCAGTATTCTCCACTGTCAAACTGGTACGGCTGCCTCCGAACTGTTTTTCAATGTTACAACCCATGGATCAGGGCGTGATTTGGTCTTTCAAATGTTCGTTTCAGAAACATTTACTGGAATATGTATTGTCTTTGATCGAAGATGAACAACTTATCATGGAGGCCGAGGTGAATATTCTCATGATCATGCATCTGATCAAGAAAGCTTGGGCGTCTGTGCACCCGCTCGTACTGATTAACGCTTTCATGAAAGCTGGGTTCAAATCCACATTGATTCAGTCGGTGATGCAGCCACCAGAGGATAAATTCGATTTGATCGAGGACTTTACTCCTTATGTGACCGTTTTTTTTGAAGAAGAAATCGTCTGTTTGGAATTTGAAAATGAAGAAGTGCGTTATTTAAAATGTTTGTATCAAGTCTCTTCTTTAGTCATTAGATGAATTCGTTTTGAATCAAGCTAACCATCGCGAAAAAGAAGATTAATATTAGGCAGTGAATGCGCCGGAAGTTATCTCAATGAGAGAAGCGCAGAAGTTATTGGATCAGTCGAAACCGTATGCCTTGGCTAATGCTCGGATTTCGGGTTCATTGTTGGAGAGTGCCTTTGATTTAAACAGCGCGTTTATTGATTCCCAAAGGAGAGCCAAGCTGAGACAAACGACGACTTATGATTCCGCTAAAAATACATCTTTGTAATCTGCGAAGTTCTTTTGCAGTTCTGTGGGGCACTCGAAAATGCTCATTTTTGCTACAGTAGTCACCAAAGCCGCTGCCATTCGGTCTATCGATGGGCTCTGTCGCACAAATGTGCAAACGGGTGAACGATAATCGCGACTGACTGGTAAGCGGGTGGGTTGAGTGAAGTGTCAGAGCGCTCGATAAACACCGTCACGCGGACGCGCCTGGGTGAATGAATGAACGATACTCTCACTTGTCCTAGATCACCGATGAAATTAGATAGGTCACTTGCTACAGGTCATATAACCCGGGTCTATGGCCTTCGGTTGGCTGAACAGGAGTGAATTTCTTTCAAGTAAACTCCCGTTTCACGCCTGCCGAAAAGTGTGCGCGAGAACCTGCTTAAAAACATAGAGTCCAACGTTTGCCTAGTGTCAACATCGCTCGAACGTTTTCATTCCGAATCTCCCACGTGGCGCATCGCTCCACAAATGATTCTCCCGTGGTTATTCCCTACCACCACTTAAGCAGCATCCGATTCAGGACTTCTCCTCCTATGCTGGCCCGAAAATCACAACCGATCGGGTTAATTGTTCGATCGGTCGGATAGGTCACTGCAACAAGAGACCTGAGGCTTGCCCACCTAACCCGAGCAACAAACCACACCTTGTTTACAGCCACGAATCTTTAGCAGACCCAGTGAACTTCGGCTGTACAGCAGACGTGCCTTCACCACACGGATGGATTGGACATGACGACAAGATCATCATAAATAGTACAAGACAATGTGAAACGATGAGGTAATCGGACTAGCGTAATATCGACATAGCAACATGGCATCATAAATTGATACTCGGACATCTTAAATTGAAAAAGGTATGGTTTATGAATCACGTGTTGAACTAAGTCCGACCAACAACGGTCCTGATGAATGCATCAATCGGTTTGAACATACACTGGCAACAACAAAAGCGAACGCACGAGCAGATATCTCCACACGCTAATGATACACGTTTTTCACTAGAAAATCACGAATAGATTGCACGGCGAACAACCAGTTTGAATATGGGCAAGAATTCAATGTTCTGAGTATAACCCGTGACAGATATTTCACTTATTTTAGATGTTAGTTCTTTCTCACTGTATTCGAACTGGTTCACCTTTGTTTATCCTGAATGGGTTAACACTGATGTTGTACATTATGGTAGATGTCATATAATCAATTCTGTGGTTAGCCTAATATTGCAACGAAATGGAGGAATATCTGGAATGAATATGAGATAATTGGGTCAGAAAAAGTTAGGTAGTTTCGAGATAACTAGACTCAGAACCGAAAAAGGGTTGAATATCGCACGCAATGTACCGACATCAGACTGAGGGCGTCATAAAAGAGTTAACTTTCTTCGATATTTAATGGACAGTGGATCTAAATTCCGTTATAAATAAACAGTTTATAATTATAAACCTTGGGAACAACTGACGGGATTGACCTACTTTTGGTTAATCCGGTTTACTTTGTCACAAAACGGTCAACTGATTTTTATACTACTTATTAGCATCTACTACTGTTTACCCTGCTATGTCGCAGTTCCTGGAATTTACCAGCTTCTTCGAATTCCCGAGTGGTGCGACATAGCAGGAGATTGACTGTATTTGTTTTTTCCATCATATTAGCATGTTTATTTGTTTCACAGCCTGCACTGTGTTAACACCTCAGTTGCAACAGATGACCACTTGTACAAAAGCATTGAAGACAGTCCGATATGAAACGAAACTTTCATGACTGGGATTTGACAGCTCTAGTCAGTAATCGCTAAGTGAACAATCTATTTCAGCTTATCCACGCAAGGAACCGGATTCCGGACAAATTGACTCCCCAATTGATAGGCGCTACACATACGAATGTCAATAGTTGTTCTATTCATTCATTTAGAGTCGCAGTTCCTTCTCTAACGTTACGGTTTTTATTTTTGTCCTTTTTATGCTCATTACCTCGGCAGTTCTCCTTACGGTACCTTTACCCACCGATCCCTGTGCACACAGACATCCTGATCAAATTTCACTCGCCATGTGTAGTACTCATCTTTGATTTTTTCGCGTCCAGTTTCCAAGCTGCAGATTACCCCGTCCCGCCCCCCCCTTTCCATCCAGTTAGAATCTTCGACTTTACACGCAACATCGATAAGCCCGATCTCACGTGTATGTTATATTACTCTTCCCCTCACAATATGTGTATTAATCTGGGTACTCTTCTCTCTCCCTTTGTCTATTAAACT